TGGAGTCTCACTCTGTCACCCAGACTAGAGTACAGTGGCCACTCCCGGCCACCACAGCCTCGATCTGCTGGCCTCCGGAGATCCTTCCGCCTCAGCCTTCCGAGTAGCCGGAATTACAGGCATGTGCTACCATGCTGGGCTGATTTTTTTTTTGATTTATTATAGAGATGAGGGCTCGCTGCCCAGGCGGGTCTCAAACCCACTGGCTCAGGCAATCCACTCACCTCAGCCTCCCAAAGCCACGGGATTACAGGCTGAGCTACCAGGCCCGGCTCAGGGCCTTTTTTAATAGGTAGTTTTCTTATGAAATAGTTGATTTCCTGGGTTGTTATTCATCTATTTAGGGTCTCAATTTTTTCTTTTTTTTAACCTGGGGAGGTTGTGTGATGTCAGAAAGTCCTCCATTTCATTTAGGTTTTCAATTTTATTTCCATACAGTTGTACTTAATAATCTCTGATAATCTTTTGTATTTCAGTTGTGACTTTCTGATTGTGTTTATTTGGGCTTTTTTCTTTTTCTTGGTCAGTCTAGGTAGTGGTCCATCAATCTTGTTTATCCTTTCAAAGAACCAGCTTTTGGCTTTGTTGATTTTTTTTATATTTTGTCTTCTAAGTCTCGAATTTGGCCTTTTTTTTGGTAATCTGGATTCTTTTGCTAAAGTTAGGGTTTTTGTGGTCTTGCTTTTTCAGCTTCCTTAAGTGATTTGTTAGGATGTTAACTTGTGATCTTTCTGTTTTCTTCATGTATATTCATAAGGATATGAATTCTCCTCTTAGTAATGCTTTCATGGCATCCCAGAGATTTTGGTAAGATGTTTCTTCATTTTCATTTGTTTCCAGAAATCTTTGAATTTCTGTTTTGATTTCTGTATTGACCCAGGAATTATTTAGCATCATGCTGTTTAGTATCCATGTCTTTTTGGAGTTTGGGGGAACTTTGTTGGTGTTGATATTTATTTTTATTCCATTGTGGTCTGAGAAGGTGTTTGGCAGTATTTCAGTCTTATGGAATTTGTTTATGTTTGATTTTAAAATGTCATTCTGGTTGCAAGATGGAGAATAAATTGGAATTAGTAAAGAATGACTATTAAAATTCTTCAAGTAGGAGAGGATGATGACTGAATTAAGCTATTCACAGTTAGCAATGAAGAGAAATTGACAGGTGAAAGAAATAGTTAAGAAACTGAAGGTTGATTGATAGTCAAGGTCTAGTGAAATGAGGAAGAAAGAGATGTCAAGGATCAGGTTTCTGGCATGACGTGTGATGTGACTTACCGAGATGAACCACTCTATGGGGTTAGGGGGAACAAATGATGATTGTTAGTCTGAACACTTTGAGTTTGAAATGACTTTACGAGATACCAGTGGAGATATGGACTAGAAAGTCTGAAACTTCAGGAATGTCTAGGTGTAAGTCAACTTGTTAAATGAAGCTGTAGAACTGAATGGCCCAGGACCATACCCTGAGAGGTTTTCTGACATTTTAAGGTTGCTGGGGGAGGAAATACTGATAAAGAAGATTGGAAAGGATGTTCCTATGCAGAAGGAAAACTATCTGATGTCACCAAAAGAAAACTGTCTGATGTCACCAAAGCCAGTGGACAGTAATGATGACCACAGGAGATCGCCAACTGTGATTGTTGGTACCAAGACACTGAGCATAGTACATATGCAGCAGTGCACAGAGACTTAATGTGCAGAGTCACCAGTGACCTCAGAAGGTAGATTCAGGCAGCTAACTTCTTTGAGAAGTTTGCTAAGAAGGGAAAAGTATAAACAGTGGCTTAGGGGAGATGGAGGATTGAAGTAGAGTTGTAGGCTTTATTTTCTCTTTTGTCTTTGTTTCTTTTTATAATGGGGGAAACTGGAGCATGCTTAAATGTTGGTCAGTAGTCATGGAGCAATTGAAATACACAGTAGCCTACAGGTCCTAGATAATGGGAGGTGGATGAAATCCAACAATAGATGGTAAGTCACTTGCTTTGGAGATGGGAGAATGCTTCCTGCACTGTAGCAAAGAGGGGAAATGATGGGTGGGTGGGGATTCTCTCAGTTAGCAGTGGGCAGGCTCAGCTCAGTGTAGAACTTGGGAGAAGACTTGGGAGAAGAGTGTTTGGGGAACACTTAGTCAGTATTATATGTAATTTCTTCCTAGATGAATTCAGTTATGCAAAACAGAGCAATAGTATGTTACAGTTGATCCATGGTTGGCTCTTTTTTTTTTCCTCACAACTAGGTGTGATAAAAAGTCAGAAGGCAAGACAGTTTAAGTTATTTGCAAGAGAGGGTCAAATAATGGTTGATAGATTCTAAGTTAGATGAGGGAAGGGGATTATGGAGAGATGGGAGTGAGGAAGGGAAATGAAGAGAAATTAGTGGCATGGAAATTCTATCAATGCTGAAAACATCATCAGCACTAGGGGCACCTGAGCCAGCAGTCTGGAGGCATATGATTTTGTAGCCAGATGGGCTTCCAGAAGCAGAGTCATTCTGGGTGATGACAAGATCCAGAGGGTTTTCTTTTTGTGTGTGACCCAGACAGATTCAGGGAAGCGACCACTGGCCACAAGGAGGTTAATGATCTACTGGGGTATGACCCTGTGGGTACTCATCTTGCCTGAGTTATTGTTGGAGTTGGGACAGTGTGGAACACAGTGATCCAGGTGCCAGATTTCCCCATGTGATGTGGGGGTACTGCAGGCAGATGGTCAGGAGCAGTTAGAGGGCAGATGGTTGGAGCCTATGTTGTCAGCCTTGAAAGAGGAGTCTAGAGGTGTGGCCCAGAGGAGGTGCAGGGAGGGGAAGGGAGCACTGACTTCTTGCTATCCCGAGGCATAGGGCATGTGAGGATATGAGGCTCCTCCTGCCGAGGCCTACAGGAGGCTGTGTCTTCAGCTAGCAGCCCGATGAAGCTAGAGTAGGGAAATGGAGAAGATACTGAGACGAGGATGAGGAAGCGAGGAGTTTGTTGAACAGGAAATGGAAGTCTGAGAGCTGGGAGGGGAGAAGCAAAGTGTGGGCTTGTCAGAGAAGTGGGTTTCAGAACAGGATGATGGCATGGAATGGATTGCTGAGAGAGAGAGAGAGAGAGAGAGAGAGAGAGAGAGAGAGAGAGAGAGAGAGAAAGTCTATGCCTAAGGGATGGTGAAATCTGAGGAAAATCACAATACAGGACATGGGGTTTTAATCCTTTAATCTTTATAGGTAGCTTGCTTCTTGGGCTTGACAGAATTTCTTTGGCCTGTAGTTGTTACAGTATAGTACAGTGTAGTGTAGCATATAGTGTAACATATTAGTATATAGTATAATATAGTATAGTGTATTGGACTTCTAAGGTATTCCCCAGACCCACGTCCCAACCCAGAGTCTCAGCTCTCCAACAGTTTCCTGGGAAGTACATACTTCCTCACATACACTCACCACCATAAGTCCTGAGACTTTCTTCTAGAGAAATTCCAAAGCCTCTTGCCTTTTTCTGTCTGTATAGTGTAACATCAATGCTTTCTAGCTTTGACAGCTACTTGAGTAAGCATGGGTTAGGGCCAGCTTTGTTGTCTGCACCATGTCCCCTTTTGCTAGCTTGGTTTCTGTGCACAATTCAGGGATCCATGCTGTGGTTGAGTAGGGATTCACTGGGGAACCACAAACCAGACCTCATGTACTCACGTTCTTGCTCTCACATTCTGAGCTCATGGCTGTGTTGACTTCATGTTATTAATCTCTGAAAGAAATAGGTGAATGTTATCCTATCTGTTTCTTAAAATTTCTTCAATGCCCATTCATTTTCCTCTCTCTGATATTAGTTGTGCTGTTAGTGTTATTTATTATAGCACTGGTATTTTCTGCTGAATTGTCTAATGAACCATCGTAAATAATCCGTAAGTGTTTTTTGGTGACAGTTTGTTTTTACATATTTTAGTCTTTCCAGTTCTTCTTTAATGGGGTTGTTTTCAAGGTATGTTCTTTTACTTTCTGAAGGAGCAAATGATGTGAAAATCCTTCCAGGTCAAGCTGTTTGTCCTACTCCAGGGTGCCGAGGAATAGGCCATATCCGTGGTCCACGTTATTCAGGACATCACAGGTAAACTTTTTTCTTATTTAATTTATTTCAGGGATAAATAAAAACATGATGCAGATTAACACCTCCGTGTCACATATACATGAGTCTCTTGGAGGCACTTGACCTCAGGGCTTCCTCCTCTGTGTTGCCAAGGCCCGTCCCTTGACATTTCCTGCTGTCTGCCTTCCTCTGTCCTTCTAGAAGCTTACTGGACTTCTAAGGTATTCCCCAGACCCACGTCCCAACCCAGAGTCTCAGCTCTCTAACAGTTTTCCTGGGAAGTACATACTTTCTCACATACGCTCACTACCTTAAGTCCTGAGACTTACTTTCTTCTAGAGAAATTGCAAGGCCTCTTGCCTTTTTCTGTCTTGTTTTCATCTTCCCTCTATTTCTTTTTCTCCTTTTTTGTTCATTTGAAGATAAAAAAATAGAAGCTAAGTGTGACGTTATGTTGCAGAATATGCCGTGTTTTAAATATGGAGTAAATGGTGCTTATAAGAAAAAGCAAATCCAAATCAAGGTGGAAGGTGAGGCTGCCTTTTCTATCCCCATCAATTGGTAAAATAATGTATAGAGGAATTACATTAGTGATCTAGAAACAGAATATGTAAGTTAAAACTGAACAGAACTAACCTCAAATTTGTCCAAATACACAAATATATAAAGCCAAAATGAAGAAGTATAAAGAGAAAATGATAAGTCATACAATATGTGAAACATGAAAACATTTATTTGAGTAAAATTTAAACATAATACAGGAAGTCATTACTTTATCAGGGGTTATCAGGCAATTCTGGAAACCAGCGACGAAAATATTTTTAAATGAATCAAAGCATATGTCATTATAAGAGTATAAAACATAATGATAAGTATTCCCAAATCGCATACATGAATATAAATGTTATATGTGTAAATCTATGAACACTTTTAAAAGAAAAATAATGTAGTATAGTATCTATGAAAAAAAAAAGACATGTAGACACCTCAGTTACTTGTATACTTCTGAACAACCCTTGGATTATGCAAGTGTACCTGGACCTGGTGGAAGCATTTTGAGGGAGGAGGGAAAGAGAGGAAAGGACTGGAAGAGCAAGCAACGAGTAGAGAGGATAGAAGCCCGTAATTAGGAGGATGCTGTCTAGTAGGTGAGGATGCCATTGGAGTTGACAGAGCCACTCTCTAGACATCACTAAGAATATGTGGCTACAGAGTGTCTTTCCCAGGCATTTACTCTGTGTGTGTGTGTGTGTGTGTGTGAGAGAGAGAGAAAGAGAGAGAGAGAGAGAGAGAGAGAGAGAGATCGAGATCAGAGCTGCAAAGTCCAATATAGTAGTCACTAGTCACATGTGTCTGATAAATTTAAATTCATTAAAATTAAACAAAGTTAAAATTTTAGCTCTCAGTCACACCTAGCCATATTTCAGATGCCTTACAGTCCCATGTGGCTAGTGGTGATTGTCTTGGCTAGCACACATATAAAATGTTTCCATCATCATCAGAGTTCTGTCAGACAGCCCTGAGAGAGAGAGTTTGCCTTCCCATTGTGACTTTTTAGTGGCAAGTATTTCTTTTTGAAATAACTGGCCATCTTAATGCCTCCCTTCAAAACTTGAATCATTTTCCTCAAAGTTAGTCAAACCATAACGTTGCAGTTTATCAGACCTTAGAGCTCTCTGGAGATTACCTTCCTGTGGTACTGCAGTTAAATAACAAATATCATCCCTGGACAGCTCTTTGAGGTTGTTGAGATACTCACTCAAGGCCTCTTCTTCCACTCATCAAGGCTGACTTGCCTCCTGTGCTGTTCTTATGTGTTGCTGGCTCACCTTTCCCTACTGGAATCGGACATGGTTGTGAACAGTGGCACAATAGGTATGCTCCTGAACTCTTGCTCATTGTATATTTTGTAAATGAGGTCAAATTGATGGTCTCATTTGTGTTCTCTAACTATCAATAATATTGAGAATATTTGACATGAGTCTACCAAGTAGCCTTTTAAGATTTTCCTCAGAACTTTTGAATGAACTAGAAGAATGTAAAAATAAACAAGCGTTTAAAAGAAAAGCATTCTATGAAGCATGGAGAAAGAAGTGAAGTACTAAGACCGGATAGAACAATGAGACATTTTTAGGGAGCTAGCAGATGTGGGAGGTTATCCTATTTCCAAGCATCATAAATTCACAGGACTGCAGAGAATGTGATACCTTATGCTTGGTTCACGTCCAGTTGCAGACTTTGTTTTATGATAGCAACTCACGTAAGAAAGAACAAAGTCTTTAAATCTTAATGAATCTTGGGTCTCAGAAATGAGAAAATGAAAAACAATGAGTACCTGTAGTAACTTAGAAAAGACAAAAGGTCGAGAGCTAGATATTTCTTGAACTTGCATTTTTATATAGGATTGATAAGGTATATAAACCATCAAGTAAATAAATTCTAACTTACCTATGCAAAGAGATGCAAGTCACTTTTATTATACTTAACATTATTTTGCAGTCCAAGAATGAGGGCAGATTTCTTGGTAGAGTCAGGGTTGACACTAAGGCCATTATTGGGGATTATGGCTAATGTAGGTTGCCTTTGTAAACACTGAATATTTCTGTCTCTTTCTTCAGTCATTTAATCATTGTCTTTCACCAAGTTAATCAGTTGACTAATGTAACCATGTCTATAACATAAGAATTTATTAAAAGTCTCTTGTAATTAACTGGGTAAAAATTGTTTTGATATCATTCATAATCCGTGGTGGTTTTTTTTGTGTTATTTCTATTATCGTAGTCTAAATTTTACATAACTCTGAAAGAGTAAAAATATTACTCTTCAGTTCTTATCTTTGATAGTATCTGTTGAGAATACTACACACGTACTCCTTCCTGCTAGACATTGGCCATAACACCTCCATGGTTATCATTACGCATTTTGTTCTTATATGTCAAAGACATGCAAGAGATGAGAGTTTGTAAATGTCACTGCATTCTCCCAGATTCCTAGATGTACTATTATAAGCATTTCTAGCTTGGGTTTCCAGATGAATTTAAATGAATAAATATTTTGAATATTCCAAAATAAAATTTTTTTCCTCTTGTCATATATCTATGCATTTTTTTTGAAAAGCAGGATTTATTGAGAGAACAGATAAGCTCCCACCGTGGGAGGAGAACTGAGGGAGTTGCCCATATCTGTGCACTTTTAATCAAAGAGACATCATCTGGCAAGATGCTTCTTGCATTCTCTAGTCCAGAAGATTCTTAGGCAGATATTCTTATCTTTAAAAAGAAGGAAAAAAAAGACGGAACAAAAGAGAAAGATCCTCCAGTTTTGCCAAGATCTGTGTAAAACAACTCAACTGCCTTCTGCTGCCAAGCCTAGGGTAAAATAAGAGAGTGTGGTACTGCTCTCTAAGGAAGGGACTGTTTCAGCTGCTTTGCTCTACAATCCTTCCAGGCAGTGAATTGCTTGCAAGTAGAATGTTGTTTTTACCATTTCGTGTCAGAATTTCTGATTCTGATATTGAAGACTCAGTGTTTTGAAAGGAAGTAAACAGTATTCTTAAAATAAGTTGTCAGCGTCTTATTTGGTACAGCTGACAAGGAGAACGATGACATCAAGATATTGCTAAGGACATTTGAAAATACATCACTTTAATAGATCAGGTGGACCTCTGGGTGTCTTTGTTAGATGAATTTCAGACAGGTTTATTTTAACTTTTATTAAAATAGTCAAGGGGTTAGCAATAATATTAAGAGCTGTATGGAGTTCATGAAGAATCTGTATAAACTGTTATTTGAAAGAAATTTCATCAGTTCTTATTCTTTATGAAAATAGGACTTTTGGCACACAATTATCACACCATTTACATTTTATTTGAATGAATTTACATAGTGAATAAAGTGAAGTAGGTGTATTTATTGACATAGAAATATTTAAAGATGACAATATTGGAATTGCAAGATGTAAACTTACTTTTGAGCCAGGGTCCAGGATTAAGTTAAGTTAGAGTTTTTTTTTCAAATAAATAGAACCCAGATCCTGGAAGACTTGATCTACCTCTGTGCTGTAAAATATAGAGAGGTACCTTGTTTAGGAACTGATAATTATATTCTTTACATATCAAGTCAGATATTGTTACAGTGTGCCTCTTTGCCCTAGTGCTTGTGTATGGGGTGCAGGACACACATTGCTAATGTGTTGGACCTCAAACAACACAAATGGAAAAGGAGCATCTGTTGCACAGAAGTGGGGGCACTTCAGAGAAATCTCAGGGTTTTCGGGTGCTCTTCTTGGGAACTTACAGCATAACTTAGCCCCTCTTCCGGGCTTACTACCTAGAAACATTCTGCTGGCTGAAGCATAATGATGTAAATTATCTCAGATTTTACTTCTTTGTGTGTGTGTGTGTTCGTGTGTGTTCGTATTCGAGGCTGCAGCCTGAGTTGGACGTCCAGACCTACTATTTTTATTTTGTAGTATAGGGCAAACTGCGCCACAATTCCTAGCTTCATTTCCTCATCTGTAAAAGAGCATTCTTTGCAGTAGAAATGGAAACGATTACATTCCAAAATGTGGTTAAAATAGGCATAAGTCTTTATTCAGTAAATAGTACAGTATCATCAGTGAAATTATAAGTGCAGAAAATATAAGGATACCAAGAATAATATTAGGAAACTTTGACTTAAGCATTTTACATAATGATAGATTAAATAAGCAAAACAAAAATAAGAATGTATAGAATCTGAATAACATGATTTAAGAAAAAAAGATTGATTGAAAAATATATACCAAGCTAAAAATAAACTTGCTCAAAAGCATTTTTTAAACACCTGACTCTTTGACCACAAACAACTCAATAAATTCTCAAAACCAAAAACATCAGCCCATTCTCTGATCAGCATTCAATAAAACAAGAAATTGATGAGAGTGTGACTAGTGCGAAAAGGAGCTGTGCTACACTGTCAGTGGGAATGTAAGCTAGTTCAGCCTCTGGGGAAAGCAGTGTGGTGATTTCTCAAAGAACTAAA